TATTTGCCTGCTGAAAAGTCTCAGGTTTCCCTTTGCAAGATAATAGTGGGCAGGAACATCAGATAAATGTAGATCCTTAAGAAGATCTGCAGGGCAGGCTATTTCCAGACAGAAGTGAATCCTTCTGGACCAGGTCGGTGGATTCTCTCCTGCTGCTGTTTTGCAGTCAATGGGTCTGGTTGTGGTATCTGCAGCCATGGCAGCTGAGACACCCTCTGCACCTCTGATTACCCAGAGAGACAGTGATGAGAAGCCCCCCAGAATCTTGAGTCCCAGATCAAACCTCTAAGGAGACGCAGGTCAAGTCAGCACGTCTCACGCTGTCATTCCCAGCTCCTCAGGGAGACGACAGAAAGTGGTACAGGGCTTGCTCCAGAGCTCACTGAACCCAGTGGGAAGACCTCTACCAAGTTTAGTGGACTCTGGATCAGGTCCTCCTTAGTCAACTGTGGGAGGAGGAAGATATGTAGGTTAGCTCTGGCCTCTAGCCATTGTGTTGGGGAGGAGAAAGCCATTATACGCGGTGACTGTCTCAGAGCTGTCATTAGGAATCTGAGCAGGTGTTGCATTCATGACCCACTTGCCTCTGAGTTTCATGTTCTTCAGCTTTTAGGACTGTGTAGTCACTTGCAAAGTCATCTCCCTGGTGCTGGGTGAGCTGTTCTGGTGTCTTCCCCGTTCCCACTGCGTTCTCTCTGCCGCGGGGTTTGCCCCGGGCCATTTTATCTGTTTGTTTGCTTTGTCTTTTCGGAGTTTGGATGGATCAATCCCTCCCTAACAAAGATGTCATAACACGTTCCGTTGTCTTCCATCGGAAAACCACGCAACAAACAAAAAGCCTTGTGACTCTGACTCCGTGGACGCCAGAACTGACAGCAGGGAACATCCGTGAGCTAAAGAGATCAGCTGAATTGCTCATAACTAGTCATAAGTGCAAGTTCCCTCGAGATAGAAATAGGCAGTGAAAGTACAACATTGTTCTGGATTGTGAACCTTCTCCATGGCAAGACTACAAAAATGGCAGATCCTGGTTGGGTGTTCCAAGGCTAAGTTGCAAGGGCATGGCTCATTATCTTTAGGGCCCCGATCCCGCAAGCTGTTTGGCAGACCATGGTGCCTTCCTGGAGCCCATCTTACAGTGTCTGGACCACAGCTCGTGAAGTAAAAATGTCCTGCTCATGCTTAGTGATCAGCCGATGAGTTTTCCTTACGAGACCCATTGTGTAGTACGTTCGTCCGCTGTTGTCACCAGGACTGTGCAAACTTTTGAAACGTTTTGTTGTGACTGTTTTCACAAAGCTATTTGCTGTTTTATTTTCTGGTGGCTTGATGCTGATTAGATTTTGCTTTCCATGAAGTTCAAAAGAATTCTTGTCCTTTTATCCCTCATTGGGAACATATGGAAAAATGAGGTTTTGGAAGCCACTTCTCAACAAGAGAGACTCTACTTCTCCCGAAAAGGGCCCGTGTTCGAGATGAAAATATATACATGCAGGGGCAATGTTTTGGCACATTTAAAGTCTGTAACAAGAGGTGGGACAAAACTCAGCTTTTTTGCTTTTAGTTGCACATCCGATATCTCATGGTGTTAGCAACATCAATGCAAGAGGTCTTGATTGAAATCATGGCTTCATTTTGCTGAGTATATATACACCCAGCAAAAGCCAGTCTCTGAACCAAAGTCCTTTCAATGTAAGCAACGGATGAAATGTCCTGGGCTTAATCATGTCTGCTAACATGGTAGAGTCCAGAGTGGTAACAGGCCGCTACGTATCTAGACTGCCTCCCTCTGTCGGCAGAGGGATGCAGATGAGGCAGGTTGACATTGCAAATGAGGCAGGGATTTAAATATCCCGCGCCTAATTTGCATTAAAATGGCCGCCATGTTTTGCCGACTCAGCACTCTGTCGGCAAAAAGTGGCAGTCAAGAGGGGTCTCTGTTAAGAAAGAAAGCCTTTTTTGAAAGATCCTGTTAACCTCCTTGCAGGAGGCATAAGAGATCTATCGAAAAAGACTTTCTTTTTCGACAGATCCTCCTCTAGACTGCCACTTTTTGCCGCCAAAGTGCTGAGTTTGCAAAACGCGGTGGCCCTTTTTATGCAAATTAGGTGCAGGATATTTAAATCCCTACCTCATTTGCAATGTCGACCTGCCCAATCTGCATCTCTCTACCAACAGAGGGATGCTGTCTAGACCTATCCCCAGTCACTGACCATGGCAGAAAACACAAATGGCCACCACTCCAAAGAGCTTTCAAGCTACACACAATTATAGGTGTGCATGGGGCTTTCCAACAAAGAAGATATTAGCACTTTGCTCCAAGGCCCTTATGAACAAGTTTCTTACTCTTCCTCTAACCCCAACATCATTTTCAATGTATTTGCTTCTGAAGCTAGCATATATTACAAACTTTAAGAAAGGAAAAAAGGAAGAGTCATAGAGGCCTTAATTCTGCAAGCAAGCATCTAATTTAAAAAAGGTTTGTAGGCATACACATACCTTTAAGCAGAGAGTAAATGATGTGATGGGTCTACTCATCTAAGCCAAAGCACATTGGAAGAGAAGAAGTGAAGCAAAGTGATCTTCTGTTCGGATTTTTCAAGAGTTTATTCTAAGTCACGGTGATTTCACAAACCTATTTCACAGTCTAGTGATGGGTGAATATACCTTGAATGACTTCTTCTCCTCCTCCCTACCCAGCTACCCTCCATACACAAAGCCTTCAAAACCGGGAAATACTTCTCTCTTAACATAGCAGAGTCATTTGCGAAAGGAGTAGTGGCAGGGAGCTGGCTGCCGCTTTTTTTCGGCTCGGGGCTTTGCCGGAGAAAAGTGCCAGTCTAGACGGGATCTTTCGGAAAATAAAGCTTTTTCTGGAAGATCCCTTATTCCAAGCCAGAAAAAAGCAGCAGCCATGTTCATGCAAATGCCGCGGGGGATATTTAAATCCCCCGCGGCATTTGCAATTCTGACTTGTCTCATTAGCATCCATTTTCCGGAAAAGGGTGCCAATGTAGACACAGCCTATGTGTGTATGTGCGTGACTAACAGCTGTGGGCAACCCAGGCTAACCAAGCATGGTTCTTTGTCTGCTTCACATCATGGGCAGAGTTTGGAAGGTCTTTAGGGCTATGTCTACACTGCAGGAGGGTTTTCAGAAAAAGATATGCAATTTGCTTACCTTTTTTAGCATTTATTTTTCCAATTTATTTTTCTAGTCTAAGGCTTCATTGGGCCAAATGTGAGGAAAACCTTCTCTTTCACAAGATCCCTTATTCCTCATACAATGAGGAATACAGGGATGCTGAAAGAATGCACCCGCTTTTTCAGAAACTGTTCCGAAAAAGCAGACACATTCCCTGGACGTGGCAGAGGTTTTCCAGGATACCGGCTGCAGTCGAGACATAGCCTAGCTCAGTAGATAAGGCTTATCCTTTCAAATCTGAGTTCAGTCTCAGTGATGACCCAGCCAATAATGCTCTTACATGCAGGTGAGATCCGTACCTCTCTGATACAGACGAACACAATGAAAGCAAGGGCAATTGTGGTTACATCTGTAAGCTCTGTGATTCTCTCTGTTCCAGTTCCATCCATAGTTTACTCCCATTTGGAGCAGGAGGGCCGAGGGAAGGGGGTAACATTTTTGTCCAGTCCCACCTAGACGTTGAGGGACTAATTCAGCAGTCACTGATGTCAGTGGAAATCTTTCCATTGACTTCAGTGGGTGTTGGGTCAGCCCCTAGAGTGGCGTCTCCGCTGCTAGTCCACAGTTCGGGGTTTCAAACTGGAGCTGAAGCTATCGGGAGCTTAAACACATCTCGGGGCTTACTGGAACAGCTGCCGTGTCCTCATCTTCATCTGGAGCTCTGGGTGCACATCATCTGAAGCTTCTTCTCCATGGGCAGCTCATGAAGCCCTCCCCTTGCGGCAAGCTAGCGTCTAGCCCCGCCCCTTCAGCCCCCGCCCCACTGCCAGAACCCCAAGCCCTCTCACAGCTGGAGGAAGCCGGACTGAGCTGCCCTGAGCACCCACCTGCCTGCCCCAGCTGCTCCGGGCCACCAGTCATCCCAAGCTGCCCACTGCCCGGGTCACTGTTGGCCAGCCCCAAGCTGGGTCCACTCCAGCTTTGGGGGAGAGGCAGGGCCTTGGGGCAGAGCCTGGGTGGAGCCCTGGGTTTGGGGAGGTTTAGCCACCCATCTTCTCCTCTCGTGGGCAACCTTAATCCTGGCATCTCCTCGCTTTAGAGAGAGAGAGAGAGAGAGAGAAAGAGAGAGAGAGTGTGTGTGTGTGTGTGTGTGTGTAAAGAGAGACTGGCAGCCCCTGCTCTACCTGTCTAGCTTGGCTTTTTGGCTAAAGAGACTAATGCGGGTTGCTTCCTGTTTACACCAAGGGAAACCGGCAGCAATAGACTTTCTCCCCTGGGGTGTGGGATGTTTCCCAAACTGTTTCAGTGTGTGATTCATCAAACATGGCTTCTTCCTCAAACTAAACAGGATTGGCCGTAATTTCCTTGGTGACACTTGGCACGCAGCACAAAGTCAGACCGATACACCCGCCAAGCATCCGCTCCGCACCCTAGGGAAACTTGGGGGAGATGTTCCACACAC